CGCGGCGCTGCTGCCCTGCCTTTCCCTGCCCGCCGCTGGCCCTTCCCCCGCCCCTCCCCGCTCCGGTGCGCGACTCAGCCGCCGCTCCGGGCAGGGAGGAAGGGCTGGGAGCCGCCTCCCGCTGCCCCCGGCCGCCCCCTCCCCATGCAGCCCGGCCCGCCGCTGGGAGCCCTCCCCGGGGGGATGTTTCTGCGGCCGCTGCCGGGATAACCGGCGCGCCGCCCGCCCCCGCCCCGGACGGAGGATGCTGCCCGCGCCGTGGCGGGTTCCGACTCGGGTAGCAGCGGCCGCGTCCGCCTCCTCGGCTCCGGGCAGCGTCGCCGGGGAGAGATGAGTTCGCGGCACCAGGCGGACTGGATCCCTTACAGGTAGGGCGAGACCCCGCGGGAGGCGGCGGGTGGGGCGGAGGCACCGGGGCTGCCCCTGGGCAGGAGCCGCTGCCTCTCGGGGGTTCCCCGCCGGAGCCCGCAGCTCGGTCGCGGGTCCGGGGCGGCCGGACCCTCCCCCGGGCGCGGCGGGGCGGCGGTGGGTCCAGCCAGGGGGAGCGAATCGCGGGCCGGCCCGGGCGGGCTCTCCCCGGTGGGGCGCCCGGTCCCGCCTCCCAACTTCGGGCTGGTGCCGCTCCGCGAAGTTCGGGGGCTGCTCTCGGGGCGAGCTGTCAGCGCCGCGGGGAGCGGGCAGAGCGCGGAGCTGTTCTGCCCTGCGGCCCCGGCGGGCTGGCGGAGCGCTGCGCCGTCGGTGGCTGCCGCCGCGCCTCGGGCTCGGGCCCGCGCTGCCCCCGCCGGCGGCGGCTCCGGGAGCGCGGCTGCGGGCGGGCGATGCGCGGGGCCGGCGGTGCCGCCATGGCGGGGAGCGGGATCGCCATGGCAGCGCCCGGCCCGCGGCTGCCATTGGCTCCGCCGTTGCCATAAGCTACGGGAGCCGCGGCGCGGCGGCGGCCCGGGAGCCCCGTGCGTCAGCGGAGCCGGCCCCGGGTGCGCGGAGCCCCGCGGTGCGCGGAGCCCCTGCCCCCAGCACCGCAGCCGTGCCCTACCCCGAGCGCCCGGGTGTGGAGAGGCAGCATGCACCACCGGACGATGGAATAGTTGGTGTCAGACTTGGCGGACCGAGGGGAAACCGAGCCAAATACTTCGCTGCGAGCGGGATGGGCTGTTCTAGTAATAGATCCCTTTCCGAATCTGCTATTCAGAGTACATTAACATGATGGGTTTGTTTGTTTTTATTTTTAGTTTTTGTTAAAGTGTCTTTTTCAAGCTGAATTTTTACAGAAGGAAATCACGACGGGTTTAACAAGGTGCTGTGAAAACGACAGCAAGCATGTTTCTTTCATTTGTTTGGTTGTAAGTGAAACAAGGTAGATACAGTAACACAGGAAACGAAGACACAGTCTTACAGTGCGCCAGGGGAGGTTTAGGTTGGACATGAGGAGAAAGTTCTTCTCTAAAAGCATCATTGGGTGTTGGAATGAGCTGCCTGGGGAGGTGGAGGAGTCGCTGTCTCTGGAGGTGTTTAAGGAACGGCTGGATGTGGCACTGAGTGCCATGGTCTGGTTAACACAATAGTATTCAGTCATAGGTTGGACTGAATGATTTCAGCACTCTTTTCCAACCTAGTTGATTCTATGATAAACCTTTTATTTTTGTTGTCAGTAGAGAATCATGGAATTAAAGTAGGTACAGAGTGCGTTTTAAAAGAAAGACAGCTGCTTAAGCAGGTCAGTTGTAGTATGCCACATTCTCAATGACAGTGTTTGTAGCAGACGTATGCCACAAGGAATGCAACGTGAACGCAATTGCATCACTCCTTAACGCAGAGAAAAATAATCTCCAAGAAAACTGCACAAGTAGAAATCTGCTATTTTGATATGTGCACATCATAGTTCAAATCAGTAGAATTAGAAAGAAATAAAGAAACATGATTACAATGAATCTGAGAATATTGCCACTCTCTCAGCAATAGCACTTTCAGCCCATGCATTTTGAATTGATGTAAGGAATTGGCAATAAGGCTTCAAAAATGACTAGTGGATGCATTCTGATGCAATTTGAAGCCTTGTAATGAGGACAGAAATACCAGAGGAACAGCTGTTCGTGGCTCATCCCAGCAGCAGTGGAAGAGTTTCTCCGTTCTCTCACTGTACACAAGGCTCTGCAGAGGCCAATGCCAAAACTTTGCTGAGGGGTTTTATAGCAGTGGCCTCAAAGAAGGAAATAAAACATCTCTATTTCTGCTCAGTGCAGCACAAACAAAGGGAGGCAAAGCAGCAAATCTCAGAGAAACACAGATTTGATGATACTCATATCTTTTCTAATATAATGTTATTCTTGAATGTGAATGATGTGTTTATGGTGAGCAACTGCTGAGGACTGCTCGAAACCAAATGGCAACCAAACCACGGTTCTGCTCTGAAGTGTCTTTATTTGGGCTTCTAACAGCATTCTCTTGAGAAGCTGACTTGTTTTTCAGTCTTCAGAGGTAGTTCTTGAGCTAGAAGTGTATTGTTGCAAATCTTATTGGACTTGTGCATGTAAAGCATCCTCCAGGATCCCCTCAACATACTTGCCCAGGAAGCAGTGGTTTGTGAATGCACAGGTGACTGAGTTTACACATGAAAGCGCTGTATGAGTAAATTAGGTCAAAGTACCATTTCAAGGGAGTGAAATATGCAAGGAGGAGGAGAGACCTGATGTGCACCCTTAGAACAGATCATCTTCTCTCTGAGGGCAAAATGCCCCATGCTTATCTGCCCTCTTGCTTCACATTCTTGTTTACTGTGGTGAGTTCAGTGGTTGCTGACTCTCAGAGCCCAGAGAAAGGTTCAGCACCTTCTTTATGGTCTGGGTGGCATGTGACAGCCAAGGGTGTCACTGCTGCTCATGTAGGGGACAGAGCATAGGCTGCTGGGCATGCTGAAGTCTGGAAAGATGTATTCTTCTAGCAGTGGAACATATGTGCAGCTCTAAACCTGAGTTAAGTCAAGCAGAGAAGGATTGTATTTCTGCTAGTAAAATGTCATATTTTTCCTTTCAAGTGAAATAAGCCAGAGGGAGTCAGTTCCATGTGTGTCATGTACAATACATTAAGCAGCCCACTTGCATGCCCGTAGCTCACAAACTTACTCTTCCCCTTTTAAGATGCTGAAAACATTTTGAGAGAGTTAACAAAAAATAGTAAGGTAATTTTTTCAGTGTCAGTGCTAGTTCGTGCTGAGGTCAATAAAAGCTTCATATTATTTGTGAGTTTGTGATTTCAGTGTTTTGCCCTTATCTCTTTTCATCCTCTCTTAAGTATTCTGCTTTTGAAATATCAGTAGTCGTAGGATGAGGTTTCAGTTCGCTAACATTATGAAAAATAGTTGGGAAGCTGTTTTTTGAAAGTAAGTATTTTGCATTTATTTTCATGAAACACCTTTCATATATAAAAATTTAAGCATATCATTAAGCACTTGCATGAAGCTGCACATGAGGTACAATGAGCTAGGAATTCTTTAAACTACCTGCTTTTAACAATGTCTCTGCTCTTTATAATAAAGACTCAAAATAGTTTAGATGCAATTAAAAAAACATCAGTTGCAGTCCATGTAGCTGTCCCCAGCCCCAAAAGTGTTTTGCAATGGAACTTAAGAGTAAGATGTAGCTTCTTGAGGAATTAGGTTCTCAGGCACAGTAGTGTTTTCCTTTGGTATCCTTCAGCAGTTTCCAGTAGAAAATACAATGCAGAAGTGTCTGGGAATCATTACAAATTCACAGGAGTTCAGGTTTTTTGTTCAAAAGTATGTTTTTGTTTCATATCTTTTTCTTGAACTCATTTTTAATTTATAACATTACTTAAATATAACATACTCATTTTTATTTTATGCTGGTGTTTCTTGAATAAGTGAAGACATTCCTCATACTATAAAACTGCAGTCAAATAAAACTGCTGCTAGGCATGATGAAAGTATCAGTAAACTCAGTTACAGTAAGGCCCCTGTCTCTGTTATTATTATTTGTTCTTATGTTTTCAGCTGCTTCTTTAACAATAAATCTTGATCCTGTAACTTTAAAAGCAGCATTTATACAACCAGCTAACCTGTTCCATGAGAAATATCTAAACACCACCAGCTGAAAAGCCCAATCCACAAAGGAATAAATTTAATACAAGTCCCCAGGGTTCTCTGTAAAGTGTCTGTGTGATGCTGCTGAGCCTTGGTTTGTGTGGATGAACCTGCCATGGCCAGAGGGGACCCCATGAACTGTGCCCTGGGGGGACCTGGCACTTGGCACTGAGGGCACTGAAAGCACTGAAGAGAGCAGATCACACAGCCTGCATTTGCAGTGGCATAATATGCCTTGATATGTACATGATGGTGGTAATAATGCACATTATTTTTGTTTGTGACAGGTTTTATTAAGCTCAATTTTTGTAGCTTTCATGAATTTGCTCTGAAGTTTTAAGGCTGTGCTTAGATATTGCAGCTATAAACAGTCACAAGTTATTTACTTGCAAAGGGAAGGATTACAGTTGGAAGAAAATTGTGGAGCAGCACAGCTGGGTTGTAAATTCATGAATCATCGCAATTAGGGCAGATAAGAAGATTTCTGAAAGTGTGATGTGTAAACAAGTCCTGGAACAAGAACAGCCTTGAAGACCAAGGGTATCCCACACTTGTTTCTGAGCATGTTGTTGAGGTAGTGGGATATTATAAACCCTGAAGTTTTGACATTGTGAAGGCAGCAGTGCAGGTGGAGGGCTCACCTTGCTGCAAGGTGCAGTCTGTGACCGAGAGTATTGCAGTGCAGGCAGGCTCGCTCCCAGCCTCCTGCCGTGGGGAATGGCATGGAGAATTTACAAGAGCTCCTTTTTTAAGGAAAAGAGTTCAAATACTGTGTCTGTCCTCTTCTCTGAAACAGGCTGTCTTGTCTCAGGCTATTCAGTGTATAAAATTAGCCTGGTCATGTGCTTTTAACCATTTAAGTTAGAGCTCTCTCTTAATGGAACTCTGTGCTCTTGCATGGAGTGTTCCTGCTGTGGTGCAGAGATGAAAGGTGGTTTGCCCGGCATCAGTGTGAGGGTGATGTCAGAGGCAATTGCTACCCCGAAGGTGGTAGCCTAAATCAACCAGGCAGAGAAGAGAGGTGAGGAAAATAAGTATCCCAAACTATGGAAGTTGCAGGGTGTTGGCTTAAATGGAAATGGGACAAGGCTCAAGGGAGATGAGCTGCAGAGCTGGGTGTGAAACCTCGTTGTTTTGTGCTTTACAGTGTGCCAGAGGTGGATTTAGGAAAGGGGCTGAAGGGGCTTTGCCACCCCTTGCATGGGCCTTAGACAGTGAGTGATGCACCAGTTGTGCCAGAGCTCTGCCACCCCCCACCACCTTTGCGGTATC